CTAGATTTTTCTGTATTTAATTTTTTTTCCAAATTAAAAATAAATAGGGGCCAGCCCGGTGACACAGCGGTTAAGTTTGCACGTTTCGCTTTGGCAGCCCAAGGTTCGCCAGTTCGGATCCTGGGTGTGGACGTGGCACCGCTTGGTAAGCCATGCTGTGGTAGGTGTCCCACATATAAAGTAGAGGAAGATGGGGATGGATGTTAGCTCAGGGCCAGTCTTCCTCAAAAAAATAAATAAATAAATAAATAAATAAATAAATAAATAAATAAAATAAAAAACTGAGACAAAACCGAGTAGTGGGAGCTACTTTTAGACAGGGTGGTTAGGGAAGGCCTCTCTGAGAGAGCCCAGCCCCATGGAGATCAGGAGGCAGAACACCGCAGGCAGAAGGTCCTCACCCCAGACTGAACCCAACTGCAGCCACCAGCTCCTGAGCCCACCCCTCCCTTCTTGAAGCATCCCCCTCACCCTATTTTCATCATGTGCACCCGCCAGGGGACAACGATTTGGTCTGTCTCTCCTTTTTTTTTTCTTTTTTTTGAGGAAGAGTAGCCCTGAGCTAACATCTGCTGCCAATCCTCCTCTTTTTGCTGAGGAAGACTGGCCCTGAGCTAAATCCATGCCCATCTTCCTCTACTTTATATGTGGGATACATACCACAGCATGGCTTGCCGAGCGGTGCCATGTCCGCACCCAGGATCTGAACTGGTGAACCCCGGGCCACCGAGGCAGAACGTGCACACTTAACTGCTGCGCCACCGGGCCGGCCCCTGTCTCTTCATTTTTTAATTGTGATATATACCATACATATATAAAACATACATTCAGTTTAAAAAATATAAAGCAAACATTCATGTGACATCACCCAGGTCAAGAAAGAAAACAAAGCCACTTTCCACCAGGAGTCTTCCCCATCCTGTTCCCTCCCTGTCCCAGGTAATCATTCTCCTGACTTTCTTTTTTTTTAGATTGGCCCTGAGCTAACATCTGTCGTCGATCTTTTCTTTCTTCCTCTTCTTCTTCTTCTTCTTCTCCCCAAAGCCCCCAGTACATAGTTGTATATTCTAGCTGTAGATCTTTCTGGCTCTGCTATGTGGGATGGCACCTCAGCATGGCCTGATGAGCGGTGCTAGGTCTGCACCCAGGATCTGAACCAGCGAAACCCTGGGCCCCAAAGCAGGGTGTGCGAAGTTAACCACTCGGCCACTGGGCTGGACCCTCTCCTGACTTTCAAGACAACCATGCCTGCGTTTTACTTTAGTGTTTTGCCACTTATATAAGCATCCCTTTTGAACTTTATATAAATGGAAACATACCGCATAAATTATTTGGTGGTCAGCTTCCTTCACTCAACATTATGTTTGTGAGATTCATCTGCATTGTGAGTGTAGTTCTAGTTTGTCCCTTTGCGTTGCTGCCTCCTGTTCCCTTGTAGGACTCCACCTTACAATGTACTTATCCTTCCTACCACTATTTGTGGCCATGGAGTTGTTTCCAGTTTAGGATTCTTACAAACATATATATGGATTTGTTGTAGGGTATATGCATCTCTTCCAGATAATAGCAAACTTCTCTGCTACTTATTTTTTCATATTTACAACTCAAGCCCTTTAAGGACAAGATCATGCCTTGACCATTCTCAATTATTCCCCCTCAGAGCACAACACAAAGTGGTATTTACAGAAGGTACTTAATAAATATTAACCCAGTGTTGGATAGATCCAGACCAGGCTCCCTCTCTACCTACCTCGGAGGCAGGCCACGCCTGCCAGCAGCAGTAGCAATGTCCCAGCATAGTGAGAAAACGGCACCACTTTGGACAAACTCAAGTAACCTGGGAGGAGAGAGGGACTATGTGAGAAGCTTTCCCCATTGCCCTTCAGCTCCTCTTCCCAGTTCAGCCCCATCCTCCACCCCACACCCTCTCTTTGGACAGCCACATCCTCTGAGGAAGGAGATGCCTGATGGAAGAGGGAAGCCAAGCCGTCCTCCACAGGTCCCCTTTCCTCTTTAGGGAGTTGGCTCATCTGCCAACAACCTGCCCGTTTCCTGTCCCACCACCTTTGAAACCACACTGACCTTTCCTGTATAAGTAGAAGAAGGCGAAGGGAGAGGAGTAATAAGAGATGGACCAGAAGACTGAAGCCTGCAGCAGAGAGACAGAGACAAGCAATCAATACACACAGACACAGAGGTCTGCATTTCTGGGCCTAGGCTCTAAGCAAAGTGGATAACCTGAGGGATATGCCATCAAGTACCTATTTTGTGCATAACATCATGCACACAATAGGTGCTCAATATTTGTTGAAAAGCAATGTGTCAGAGCATAACGGAGGCTGGGAAAAGTAGGTACAGGTCTATTTTCTTCCTCTTATCATCTCCAGACATAATTTCATCGCATTTGAAAGCCAGCCTCTCCTTCTGCTCAAGTTAATCAAGCTTTTTCAATCGGCCCTGCTCAGGACAGCCCCTGGCCTGGTCCCCAAGAGATGCACAAACGTCACCACAGGAACCCTGCCAGAGAGAACAGCTGTCTCTGCAGCCAAAGAGGTTAGTTGCCAGGGAGGACAGGTCACTGGGGACTGCAGGACTCAGCACCTGCGGATGGTCCCAAGAGTAAATACTTTATCCTCATGGCCCAGGCTGCCCCAGAGAAAGCGGTGCACATGCCAAAAGAGAGTGCAAAGTATGTGAGCTCGAGAGCGTGTCTATGTGCGTGTGTTGGAGAGGTCTGCTGCAGAGCCCAGAGCATCCCCCGCCCCCGGGGGCGCTGCCTCTCGCTGAGCTGGGAAGGAGAAAGTTCAGGAGGGCAGCTGGGTCTGAAAAGATGCCGTAGTCCCAGATGCTAGGGCAGACATACCAGCGCCAGGATGCTGTCGGCATGTTTCTCCAGGGCACGGGGCTGATAGTACGTTTCCTGCCAAAACAGATGGCTGCATTAAGCACCCTGGCAATTGCTAAGTCCTTCCCCTTCCCTTTTGGAAGCCCTGATGTGTGTCCTCTGGTTCTAGCCTTCAAAGCTCTCTCTCCTGGGACATCCCTGGCTCTCAAAGAAGCCCCTCTTCCCCACTGCCCTCCAAACATGATTTCCCACCCTAGACCATGAAAACAAACACAGGGGGCTGGGCTTGGAAACAAAAGTGAAAGCAACATTGGACGACTTTTGCTCCTTTTTCACAACCCACAAGAAATGGCTTGTGGGCGTGCGCATACAGGGAAAGGGGTTAGAGAAGAAAGGAAAGACACCATAACAACTTTAAAAAGGAAAGAAAAGCATCAGAAATAAGAATAGGATGATGAAGAAAGAGAATGTGGCTGGGGGTGGGCCGTTTGTAGGGGAGAGTAAACATAATTTGAGACAACTGATAAAAAGGTAGAGAATTTAGGAGCACAGCCTACCACCACCCCCAGCTTTTATGAATGCAAAGACCCTGGGGTCTCCAGGGTAAGTTGAGGGGTGGGGTGGGGAGCGGCGGATACATGATATGTTGAAGAAGTCATTTTGAAATTCAAGGCCAGGGTAGACGGAAGATAAAACGGAACCGGGCAGGCACTCAGTAAGAAGAAACAGAGAGTTTGACGGCAAAATCATCCAGCTCCCTAATCCGCGCAGGTCTCTTCCAGGACTTGAGTCAACTGGGACCGGTAGGCATCACGACAGACAGCGTTGGGGGTCGCAAAAGGAAAAAGCAAGGAGTGGTAGTCGGAAGGAGAAAGCGGTGGCAAACAGCGATAAAGGAGCGGCTGGTCCCTAGGCGTGACTTTAACCCAGGAAGCACAAAGAGCGCAGACTTTGCGGACAACTGGCTTGACAAGCAGGCTCCCCCGATTTCCAGTAATGGGCCCTTCTGGGGAGCAAAGGCCGCAAAGGGGTTTGGGCCGTACCATGTTTCTGACCAGGGGAGAACTCGACTCACCCAGGAGCTGGAAGTGGGGGTAGTGACTGAAGTTGGAGTCTCAGGGACGCCGGACGGGGCCCTTTCCGAGTCCCTTTCCCGGTAGATTTTGTAGAGCCGGGGGCCTAGGACGCAGCTCAGCAGCTTCGCCATGACCCCCGCTCGGGCCGCTGCTCTTCCAGCAGCAGATCCCCCTGCCGGCCCCGCCCTCCCCCGGCCTCTAAGGTGTTGCGTGCCCTTGACGTCAGCACGTACCGGCTCCGCCTCGTGCCAGTCGAGACATTTTCAGCGCTTCTTGAGAAGGGTTTCGTGCAGTCGGACCTACGGGTACAGCAGTGGTCAGAAATTAGTTGGAGGCGTTTGGAACGCGGAGAGTTAGAAAGTTATCGGGCATATAATTAAATCACTTTTTCTATCCTTTAATATTTGAAGAGATAGTGGGAACGAGGGGGAAGATTAGGAGCGCTTGACAAGAGCAAGAAAAAAGGTGGTAAGGTGTCTGGGAATACATCAAACAAAAATGCAAGATTTTATGAAGAAAATTACAGAAGTTTTGAAAGAGGTAAACGAAGGCTTACACCATGGTCATGGGTAGGAAGACTCAGTATTGTTAAGATGTGTGAAATACTGGTAAAAAGAAAATGGATGAATTATCGCTCTTAAGCGTGGACAAATCTTAAAACCGTAATGTCGAGTGGGAAAAAAGAAAGCCACAGAAGATTACGTGCAACATGACAGCATTATATAAAATTCAAAAACATAAAATTTAATGATCAAGTAAGTGAAAGATAAAGAGCAAATTTAGAATAGTGTTATACAGCGTACAGGATCTTTGACTGAAATGGTAATATGTATTCTATTTCTTAATAGATATACCTGTTTGTTTTCTTTTTCTCTGTACTTTACACCTACATAATATCTAAACCCTTTAGCTTTTTACTGCAGTAAACACATATACAGAAATCTATCCCAGTTGAATATATCCATGGAATCAGCCCCGAGCTGAGGGACACATCATGCCCACATCTAGAAGACCCTCTCCAGATCACTGCCGGTAGCTCCTTGCCCCATCTAAGGGTAACCACTATTTTAATTTCTAACCTCATAGATTAGTTTTGCCTATTTTTTTACTTTATATAAAGGAATCATACAATAAGTGCCCTTTGTTTCTGGCTTCTTTCACTTATTATGTTTGTGAGATTCAACCTCATTGCATGCCGTGGTTTATGCATGGTCTTTGCTGTCTAGCGTTCCCTTGTGTGAATATACCACAGTTTATTTAGCTATCATACAGTTGTGCATTAGATATAGTCTGTGATGTACATGGAATATTTCATCAAAAACAATTTTAAAAATGAATAGCCTTTAAAAATAAACATTAAAAACTATTAGAGCTACATGAAGATGTGCCTTGAGAATCCTGCCTGGGGCAAAGGGTGAATCAGTGAATCCTCCAGGCCCCTGTTATCCCTCTCCTTGAGTGATAACTTCATACCACCATCAGGGGCTCAGGAGAAGTGTGTGGTGTGACAGGCAGCCACGGGGAAAGTCATTCTAAATCATTTATGGAGTACTGACTGGGTGTGCAGTCTTGTGCTGGGTTCTGTGGAGACCAACACGAAGACTCACCTACTTCCTTCATGGCCGGCATCTCTTAGGGGTGGAGGAAAGAACACAGAATGTACTTCTAGACTGACAGGAAGTGGACAGTCGTGATCCCTTCTGCGCATGCTTCACAGCATAGAAAGTCTTTGGTCTGACTCCCTCAGCTGATGTGGAGTCAGAAGGGTGAGGAGGTCATCTTCGGAGGGGCCTGGATTAGGTCTTTTCCCTCTCAGGACAGAAAGGTTGTGGTCACTTTTTTCCCAGTAGACATGCAGCTGGGCTTTATCTCCCCGGCATTCCCATCCCCTCCAGAGGCCCATGTCACTCCAGACCAGGGAGTGTGGTCCTTTATCTGGGTTCTGTTTCCTCCCTGGGGACACCAGGTCTCGGGCAAGAGAACTTGGCAGGCTCTCCCCATGGCAGTCTTATTCCTTCTCCTTCTGTTCCTATGTGGGACCTCCCAGGCTACTGCAGGTAAGGAGCAGGAGGTAGGGGATTCTTCAGCTATTCATAAGGTAGGGAGAAACTGCTGCTGTTTCTCCTTAGGGGCCTGGAGAAGGCATCTGACTCAAGAAGATAGATTTGCCCCACTGACCTCCTCCTGCCTCTAATACTGGGGAAGACCCAGAGACAATGAAGGTCCAGGTCATGTACAGTTTCCTTTAGAAAATAAGAAGAGATGAGTAAATGCTTCCAGAAAAGGAGAAACGAGAGGAAGAGATACAGGCATTTGCTGACTATTCCAGCGTTTTTTCTCTTGCCCTCAGATTTCCTCAGTCACTTCGGGAGAGGGGAGGAAAGCCCCTACCCTCTTTTCTCCACTTCACTTTTTTGTAGCTGTCACTTGAGAAATGTGCTCAGCCAGACCAGTGCTGGGGGACCTCAGAAGGGGAGGAAGCCAGGGGTTGGAAGATGAGTAGAAGGTTGTTAATCTGATGGAGGTCTCTGGCTTCACATGACCCTCTCCCCACAGACAGCATCCAGGCCATCTATGTAACCTTGGGGGAGTCAGTGGAGCTGCCATGTCCTTCACCACCCACCCTGCATGGGGATGAGCTCCTGTCCTGGTTCCGCAGCCCTGCAGCAGGCACCTCCACTGCCCTCGTGGCCCAAGTCCAAGTGGCCAAGCCAGACCCAGGCCCTGGAAAGCCTGGAAAGGAATCCCGGCTCAAACTCCTGGGGAACTACTCTTTGTGGATGGAAGGGTCCAAGGAGGGAGATGCCGGGCGGTACTGGTGTGCTGTGCTTGGTCAGCACCACAGGTACCAGAACTGGAGGGTGTATGATGTCTCGGTGCTCAGAGGTGAGTGGGGACATGCAGACCAGCGGCCACTGGGGGCCAGGAAGCCCAGGCAAAGAACTGAGGGCTCCCTCTTTCCCCACAGGATCCCAGTTATCTGCAAGGGCTACAGATGGATCCCTCTGCTCTGTCCTCCTGTGCTCTGTGGTTCCCGCCGGACGCCTGGACTCTGTGACCTGGCTGGAGGGGAAGGGTCCTGTGAGGGGCCATGTACAGTCCTTCTGGGGCGATGGGGCTGCCCTGCTCTTGGTCTGTCCTGGGGAGGGGCTTCCTGAGCCCAAGCGCCGTAGACCAAGAACCATCCGCTGCCTCGTGTCTCAGAACAGAGGGGTCAACTTTAGCCTGGCAGGTAAACTGAGGGAGGATATGGGAAAGGATGTTGCCTCTGGCACATCCTGCACCTGCTTCCTAGGGGAGGAGGTGAGATAGGAGGAGAATCTGTTATTGGCCAGGTCAAGAGGGGTGATTTCTAGTGGAACAGACAACCTCCTATAAAAGGAGGGCTTTTTTCTCATTGACTGAATCCATACAGAGAAGGAGGTTGGGTAAACCAGCTGTCTGGTGGAATAAACCATCAGCTAAGAGGGAGAAGGATTCTGGTGGAATAAACCATTGTTTAGAAATAGGATAACCTAGGATTTTTGTGGAATATCCCATAGCAGAGAGGAAGAAAATAGGAATTATTGCTGAGGGAGTTGTCTTTTGAAGAAAGCATATATGCACTGATGTTATGATGGGCCATTGATAGTGAAGGCAGAAGGAAAAAAATATATAATTGTTTTACAATAAAAAGTCCATTATTCAGAGAAAGAATGCTACTGGATGTAGAATAACTCATTTATAAGGCAGAAGGGAGGAGCAAATGGCCATTATTTTGGTAAGCAAAGCCCAGTTAGTGGGCAGTGACTGGGTCTTATTTCTATATCTGTAGCACCTAATATGGTTCCTGACCTGTGGTGGACACTCAGTGAATGCTTATGGAGTGAATGAATGAAAGAATGAATAAATGGAAGGCACTTTATTTTTTTTCTTGAAAGGGCAGATTACAATGAAGGGTATGAGGAGAAATCACAGTTATGGCTGGTGGTCTGCTCTGGAGTTAGCTGTCCATGTGTGGGTAGGGGGGTATTGCCATTGTCTAGTGATGTTGGTTTACGGCGGCAGGGTGAGAGGCCTGGAATGGGGCAAAGTGGGGTGGTGGATATCGGGGGCGAGGAAGCTTATGAAGTCTTCTTTTGGAAGAGCCCACCAGAGTATGGGGGGAAGCCTCTCTTTGGGGCACAAGGACAGACCTCCTTACTGCATCCCTCCTTATCTCTCTTGTCTTTCCCTTACTGCAGCCTCCATGGATGCCTCCCCTGCCCTCTGTGCCCCTTCCAGGGGCTGGGATTTGTCCTGGATCCTGATGCTGGTGCTCACAGCGGGCCAGGGGTTTGCCATCCTGGTCCTCAGCATCATGCTCTGGAGGCAGAGGGTCCAGAGGGCTCAGTGCAGAGGTGAGTCCCTCCCTCCCAGAGGGAAAAAGAGCACGTGGTGCAAGGCAGAGGGTTGAAGCTCACATCTTGCCTCTAGACTCTGTCTTCTCTGGGGGAGGAGGGTGGTAAGGAATATAGCTCTGAGCCGTATGATGACTTCTCTGCTGCACCCCATATGGCTCCTTCTCCCCAGATGCCTCAATTCCTCAGTTCAAACCCGAAATCCAGGTCTATGAGAACATTCATTTGGCCCATCTCAGGTGAGGAACAACTAGGGGGCAGAGGCATAAATCCCAAGGGGGTCTGGGGTTGGGGTGAAATGGGCTCCTGGTTCCGAAGGAGGTGGAGAAGGGAAATATCCTTAATCTGTCTTTCTGCTTCGCAAAACCCACAGACTACCTGCCCCCAAGACCAGATGATCTCGGTGACATCTGCTGGGAAGCATGACCTGCTGTCTCTCTGGCCATCTGGCACCTGAAGGATTCCCTGAAAAACCTTGGTTGGGGGGAGGGGCTGAGAGTACTACTTCATAGTCCAGCTAGTCTCCAGCCGCCAAGCTGTGTGTGTGTGTGTGTGTGTGTGTGTGTGTGTGTGTGTGTTGGGGGTTGAGGGGAGTGGAAGGAAAGGAGAAGCATTATTCCGTGATGTCACCTATGAAAAGGTGTGGTCTCCTGTCTTGTAGCTGCCAGTGGGGGATGGCCCTGAGCCCATAGTACCTTGGGATTAAGGGGAGCCTGGTGTAGCTGGCAGGGGATGAGGAAGATGAGGATGGGCAGAGAAGAGACAGAGGGATCCAGAGGCTTGAGCAATGGTGGAGAAATGGGGGAACTGCAGGAGAAATGGGGGAAACTGAAAAAAACAGAAGGAAAGAGACTCAAGTCAGAGTAAGGAAGAAGTGGACAGAGAGAGAGAGAAAAGTAGAAGCACAAAGTGGGAAGACTGAGGGACAGAGAGAATGGAAAGAAGACTTCAGTTGCCTCTAAATTAAGCCAGATCTCCCCACCCCATCTCATCCTTACAAAGAAGAGAAGTTGAGAAAGAACAAGCACCTTTAATCAGACCCCAGACATCCTCAGATGGAAGGAGAGGGAACTGAGTCAGAATGGGGATATCAGTGCTCAGCCCCCACCACGGGGCACCCTCTTTATCCTCATCATGCATCCAGAGCAGTGAGCAGTTTTTTGTCACCCTGACATCCCAGGAGCCCCAGGAGTCACGCACTATCTCCCTGTGTGGAGGGAGTGTCCACAGCAGCAGGTGGGCAGGTTTCCCGGTGGGGTGCGCAAGCAGGCCCTGCGTGTCTGTGAACCCTGGACGAGTCTGGGCTGGTGAAGCGGGAGGGAGCATTGATGCTCCTAGCTCATCCATTCCCCAGTCTCAGGCAGAAATGAGCTGGACTCCAGCCACGCCCTCACAAGCAACTCCACCAGGCGTCCTTTGCTCAAGGTTGGGCCTCACTGGAGAAAGGCTTTCTCGGAAGTCTCACCTAAAGGCTTCACACTGTAGTGGTTTCAGCTAAGCTATTGGCAAGAAGGAGGACGCAAATGACACAAATGGAGAATGAGGCGAACGTTATGGTTCAGGTTCCAGCACCCCAGCCCAACCCAAGCAGCTCTAGTTTGCTTTTAGACAGCATGCACATACACACACGCACACACACCCCCAGCAGTGTTACCAGACTCCCAGGTAGCACTTTTATTAAATTTACTCTTCACAGTTCCCCAAGCCCTTCTTCCTGAGTTCCTGACCTACCAAATTAATCTTTTCTAGAAAGACTCTCCTCCTCACTATACCTGGTGCCCCTTCAGTCCCCTTGCCTGGGACCCACAGCTCCATCAAACGCCTGCCTTGCCAGAGACCTGGGGCTGAGAGAGGGCATCAGCAACAGGCATCTAGAAAAAGACACAAGACATCAAACAGGTGTTCTTAATGAGGCTGGGCTCTGGGGGAGGTGCTTGTAGGGAATGGAGTGGTACCCATAGGAATCAGGTCTTGGGAGGGGTCTGTGAAGGTGTTGGTCCATGGATCTGAGGTCACTGTACAAAATCCGGTTCTTGGGCATATCTCAAAAGCATCTGTGGAGTTGTGTCCAGGGCCATGGTGATGGTGAAGTCCTGGGTTGAGGGCTGCATATCTCGAGAGACTAGTGGAGGAGGTGGTCTCCCCAGGTGAAGCTTGCCACGAGGAGGAGCAGAGTGTTGAGAAGTGGGGTCGGGAGCCACTGCAGTGTGGTGGCTGCATTGCACAGGTCCTGCTCACAGCAATGGTGCTGCAGAGTGTAGGAGCGTGACCAGTAGGTGGCATGGCCTGGCAGAGGGCACTGGATTCTTGGGAGGCAGCCTTTCCGCTCGATGATCTCACTCTGCTCTGTGGGACAAAGGGGGAATGCTAAGGCAGGGGCCATGGGAGCAGGAAATGCAAGATAGATGGAGGTGGGGAAGGACCCGGAGAAGGGCCATTGGACCAGAATCCAACCTGAGGTGCCAGTACTGATGCCACAGGCTTCATCATCCTGACACTCAGTGGAAACAGGGTAGCAGGGTTTGGCAAAGCTGCAGGTGTAACAGTGGAGCCGCCCCTGGGCAGGGGAAGTGGTGAGTCTGTGGGATTGGTGGAGATGGAGCAGAGAGGAAGGGCACACAGGTCAGGTGAGAGGCCAAGCCCAGATCCCGGACAGGGATTCACAGAGTGAGGTGACACACAAAGTGGGGAGAGTGGGGAGAGGGAAGCGGTAAACCGGAAGGAGAAGGACACACAGAAGTAGAAAAAAGAGATACAGAGAGGTCAGAGGGGAGACAATTCAGGAAAAGAGAAAGACACAGAGGCAAGAGAGATACAGGGATTTGAGATGCACAGACGTGAACAGAAGCCAAGAGAATCAGAGATGAACGTAGAGAATGACACAAAAAGCCGGGGGTGGGGGTGGGGACAGTGAAGAAGTTAAGCAGATGGTGCCAGGGACAGATGAGAAAATAGGAATTGACATTGACCGAGGGGCGCAGCAAAGAAGCAAGAAGTGAGATAAGGGATGGGGGAGACAGAGGCTTGTCAAAGATGCTACAAGAAGAGACAGTTATTCTCAAATGCCCTTGAAAGGAAACTTTTCCTGTTCCACCTTATCAGGCTGGCCCAAGGCCATTCCCAGTAGCTCTTCTTTCTAAAGCTCCCACAACTCTCTTCTTGGCATCTCCCCACCAGCCTCCAGGCTCCTCCACACACCCCCTGCCCCAGTGCCTCCCCCAGCCCACCCTTACCCAGTGCCCCACAGAGAAACAGGATGCAGAGGAAGGTGCTGGAAGAGCCCATGGCTGAGCCCAGGATTCTGGAATCTGGGAGAATGTGATCTGCACCCCTAGATCCTGAGAGTTGGAGCAGGAGAGCAAGACAGGGAGGGACCAGTAAACAAACACACCTAGGGAGTGAATCTCGGGGGCGGAACTGCGACCAAATTCACCAGCTTGATACTGCAGGGCCCTGGCCCTCTGCTTCTGTGCCCCACATCTCTCACATCCTCCCTGCCCCCTACTTGAGTCTGCTCTTGCCTTGAGAGTCTTCTCTGTTCTCTCAGTGTTTGTCTCTGTTACTCCTTGCTGCGTCTGCCGCTCCTGAGTTGTGTCTGTCACCTTCCCTCCTACTCCTCACCCTCCCTCTGCTGGTTTCAAGCTGTTCTCTGCTCTCTCAACTCATTTCCCTGTCTTTGTTTTTGCTGTCTTTTCCCCCTTCGTGCCTCTAAGTCTCTCAGGCTCACCCTCCAGATCTGGCCCAGATCTGTTTGAGTGTGGTGTTTAAGTGTGATGTTTGAGTATGGAATCAACAATACTCCCTCCCACCCACACACACACACACAAAGCCCAGCTGTGTAAGGGAGGACCCCACCCAGCTTCAGATCCCTTTGATTTCCCCAAGCCTCAACATTCCTACCCCATAATTATCCCTCCCAACTTTACTACCTTGGAGGAAAGAATCATAGGTCGGGCCAGAGGGCCGGATGTGTTTCCACCGGTGTGGGGATGGGAGGTGGGGAGGGTAATAAAGACTAGGAAGGAATGGGGAGCTAAGATTTTGGGGGTGATGGTAGAATCTGGAAGACTGGAGTTTAAAAGATTGGAGAGGGGAGAACCACGTCTGGGGAATCAGAGCAGGAATGTACTAGAAGGAGTAAGACTGGAGGTGGGGGTGGGGTGGGACAGAGGAGACACAGGTATCTGTGGAGCAGCAGTTTTCCAAAACTTTTCTTTTTATCTCAGAACCTCTTTACACTCTTAAAAATTAGTGAAGACCCCAAGGGGCTTTTCTTTGTGTGTATATCAATATTTACTACACAGTAGTATTAGAAACAGAACATTTTAAATAGGTTCATTTGAAAATAAAAATAAAAATAATAAACCTATTACATGTTAACAAAACATAATTTTGTGAAAAATAACTTCTTCCCCAACAACACAGTGAGAAGAGTGGTACTGATTTACATTTTGGGGAATCTATTTATTGTCAAGCTTAGTAGAAGATGGCTGGTATTTCATACCTGCTTCTGCATTCAGTCTGTTGGGATATGTTTTTTTGGTTGAAGTATATGAAGAAACTCCGGCCTCACACAGATATATAGTTGGACAAGGAAGATCGTTGAGGACCCTCTGAAAGGGTCTTAGGGACCCCCAGGAGTTCTGGGGTCACAGTTTTAGAATCGCTGCTGAGAAGAGGAATCTGGGGACTCCAGAGGATGCTGAGAGCTCTCTCTCCCCTGGGGGCCCCTCCCTGTCCCCACTGGGGCCCCTCGCTGCCCGCTGGGGGAGACTCTTTCTTCCCTTTTTATTGCCCTATAAAGCCCAAGGCAAGGGGGATATAAGGCTGGCAGAGCTGGGCCAGGGAGGGGGGCGGGTGGGAGGGAGAGGCGCTACTGACACAGGCAGACACAATGAAGCCCCTCCTTGTCGGGATGCTGCTTGGCACCCTGCTGGGGACTGCCATGGGTAAGGAGGCAGCTCAGGCGGCTCTTGCACAGGCTTGTCCCCCTCTGCCAGCTGGCTCCCCGAGAGCCCAGGTCCAGCGTCTTCTCTCTTCTGCCAGGAAACCGCATGCGGTGCTATGACTGTGGTGGAGGCCCCAGCAGTTCCTGCAAAGAGACGGTGACCACCTGTGGTGAGGGCGAACGCTGTGGCTTCCTGGAGCGCAAACCCCGGAACAAGCCATCTGGAAACCGTGAGTCCTCAGTTTTCCCTCTTCCCCTAGCCCTTCCCTGCTTCCAGAACCTTCCAGGCTCATTCTGGCTCTGGGCAGATGGTGCCGCTGTCAGAGTAGAGCAGTCTGTAGCCCCTTCTGGCTCCTGGCACCAAGCCTTTCAGGAGCCGGCTGTCTGTGTGGTCCCCCTTCCCTCCCCTTCTTCTCCAGAATCTCATGGGCCATTCACTCACAAATAGTGGGAAAGGCTCTGTCTTGAAGGCAGGGACCAAAATATTAAATCAAACTTCAACTTCCAGGCATCAGCTAAGGACCAGGGAAATATGTGTGTATGTTTTAATTTTTAATTTTGAAATAATTTTACATTGACAGAAAAGTTGCAAAAATAGTACAGAGTTCCTATATATCCTCCACCCAGCTTCCTCTAGTGTTAACATCATACAAAACCATAGCACAATTATCAAAATCAGAAAATAACATTGGGCGGCCGGCCTGGTGGCACAGCGGTTACGTGCGCATGTTCTGCTTTGGTGGCCCGGGGTTCACTGGTTCGAGTCCCAGGTGCCGACATGGCACCGCTTGGCAGGCTATGCTGTGGCAGGCATCCCACATATAAAATGGAGGAAGATGGGCACGGATGTTAGCTCAGGGCCAGGCTTCCTCAGCAAAAAAAAAGAGAAGAGGATTGGCAGATGTTAGCTCAGGGCTAGTCTTCCTCAAAAAAAAAAAAAAGAAAAGAACATTGGTACAATATACCAACTAATCTACAGATCTTATTCAATTTAGCCAGTTGTTCCACTTACGTCCTTTTACTGGTCCAGGACCCAAACCAGGATCCCATGTCTTCTTAGTCCCCTCCTATCTGTGACAGTTCTGTCTTTCTTTGTCTTCCATGACCTTGACACTTTTGGAGAATCCTGATAAGTTATTTTGTAGAATGTCCCTCATTTTGGCTTTATCTGATATTTTCTCATGATTAGACTGAGATCATGAGTTTTGGGCAAGAATACCACAGAAATGATGTTGGTCCTTTTCAGTGCATCACATCGGAGGGCTCACAGTGTCAATGTGTTAACTCTGATCACTTGGTTTCAGGGAGGTGTTTTTTGAGGGGGCACAGAATCCCTTTGGGCTGCTTGAAATCACATCCGCTTTGCCCCAGAAGGGAAGTCCTCAAGCCAGGAGTCCAACACCCCAGTCTCATTCTCTCTCTCAGCCTCAGTGACCGTGATTCATCACCATCCAGCCTGCGTGGCAGCCCATCATTGCAATCAAGTGGAAACAGAGTTGGTGGGAGACGTGACTTACACAACCCACAGGGACTGCTGCGTCGGAGACCTGTGCAACAGCGCTGTGGCAGCGAGCTCTGTGGCCCCAGCATGCATCTTGGCCGCAGCAGCCACCGCCCTGGCCTGGCTCGTGCCAGGACTGTGGAGAGGGTAGTAAGAGTAGATAAGGGAAGGGAGCAAGGAAGCAAGAGAATGAAGGAGATCTGAGGCGAGAAGACAAACACTCCTCTGTGAGCCATTAAAATCTATTGACTACTCTAGAGCTGACTGGAAAATTCCATCTATGTTTTGTTGATAGGGGCTGAAGAAGTAATATGGGGGCATCCAGGCTCTGGTTTGGGGGTTATCAAGCATCAGTGGACTTAGTTACATGGCACACTCCTTAACCAACTAAACCCCAAAGGACAGTGGAGAATCCACCCTAAGTGACTCCTGGATCCTGTTGCTAGGGAGAATCTTCCTTAGCAATAAGGATCACTGAGGGGAGCAGGCTCTGGGCTGAGTGGGGGTCACCAGGAATCAATGGGCCTGGTTATCTGGGTTTGTTCCCCTTTCTGCCATTTGTAACTTGGCTCCGAACATGACTAGCTTGAATTGAGAAAGGAAATGTAAGCACTGTAATAGGAGGGTTGCTTGGTGCCTCACTTAGTAACCAGATCAGGGGAGGCCTCTGACTCTAATCTGAGGGACTGAGGCCTGGAAAGAGGGTCCAAGGTCCTATCCCCATGCGACTCTCCTACCCTTTCTGGGGAGCCCTCAAGACAGCCTGCATCTCTTTCATGGCAGTACATCAGAGCTATGGCCTAAATTTGGGATAAGGATTGTTTCTCCAAACACTGGGACCTGTGTGCCACCCCCAGACACTGGAGGGGAGGACAGAGGCCTGAAAAACCTGTTTCTCCATCTGCTTCAGCCCTGCCTCCCAGGGAAACTCCCTGAAGGATTCTTGGGTGAGGGTGGGGGCTGAGAGTGTTACTTCCTGGGAGGGGGCCTCTGACAATAAACATACAATTTATCAGGCACAGACATTTATTATTCAAAATGGAAACGGGAGCATAGGGATGGAGTACAATGGGAGCCAGGATTTGAGGAATAAGCCCTGTACAATGAAGTCATCAGGTCCTTTCTGGGAGCCTTCATTAGGAACAGGATGGAAGCTCCATTTCAGGCCCAGATTCCAATCCCTCTCTGAGTAGGGCACCACAGAGAGCAGGAGGCAAAGTGGGGAGTCCTTCTAGGGGCCAATGGAGGATCTGGAATGGTCTAGGGGGAAATAGGAAGGGACTCAGGAAAAGCAGACTGGAGGGTATGGGGTAGAAGGATGGAGAGGGAGACCACTGTCTAATTAAAGAAATGTGAAGGATCTGGAGAAATTTTTTTTAGTGCAAAGAGAGCTAGGGAGAGACCACTGTGGGAAGTCAGGGGATCCGAGACACAGGGAGAAAGGTTCAGGTGAGGCAGGAGGGAGGGGGGCAGCCATGGAGTGAGCCTCAGTGCAGCAGCCAGAGGCCAAGGCCAGCCAAGGAGGTGAGGACAAGGGCTAGGGCCGGGGTGGGCCGGGGGGCCAGGCTATTGCAGTTGTCCTTGTTGCAGCAGGTGGTGTTATAGGTCAGGCCCAGCTTGTGGCTGGTTTGGTTGAAGGCCTCCCGACAGGGCTCTTCTGGTGTGCCACAGCGAAGGTTGGAGAAAACCCACATCTTACCTGGGGGTAGAAGTGGGTCATTGGGTCAGCCAGGATGGGCACTGAGCATGCCTGTGTCTATCTCCCCAGCCCATGCACCCACCCAGGCTTCCTTCCTTCCCAATTCTGCCCTGGCCCTCACCTTCTTTATCTCTTTTCAGTCTAGTCTTCCTCCTGCACTTCCTTACCCCACCCCCTCACCCCAATTCTGGTCCTATGACTTGCTCACTGTGAGGCCTTGAACCTGTTGCTTTCTCTTTCTAAGGCCATTTTTTCAGTATAATAATAGCACCCACATCACAGGGTTGTCTTGAACATAAATTGAAACAATCCACGTACAAACATAAAATGGTGCCTGGCACATATTATGCTTGGCCAAATATTATCATTGCTGTGATTCTCTGTTCCATCTGTCTTAGCCCCAGTTGGGCCTCAGTCCCAGCCATAGAGTCTCCCATCAGCCCCCTCTCCCCACTAAAGAAGGGGATGTTACCGAGGTACACATTTGTTGTCAGGCATTGTTGTCCTGGTTCCAGGCGGCAGGACTGCCGGTCCACACAGCCCAGCACAGGGACCTTGTAGCAGGAGTGACAGCGAATGTCAGCTGGGAAGACACAAGTCAGGAAGACACAAGGGGTGTCTGACTCACCTGGAGACTAGCCGAGCTGGGGGGTAGGGTGGAGAAGAGCCAATCAAGTATGTGTTCTGACCTGTTTTGTCTGGTAGGGAGAGAGCAGGTGAGTGATGCAGGAAAAGTAGAAGTGGGTGAGGGCGGAGTCATTGTTCTATGAGTGGCCCATACCCTAAATATCTTCCTTCATTCCATTTGGGAATGAGTCAAGAGGGGCAGAACTACCAACAAAAACATGGGGTGGGGGTAGGTGGAATGTAAGAATACTGTGGGGAAAGAATGGAAGAGGGTGGGGGAGAAGATGAAGGAATTCAGAAGAGGTCACAGATGGAGACTTCAAATAGGAAGAAATATTAAAAATAAAAATCATGGAGGTTACAACACTTGCAGAAATGGCTTGGCACTTGAGGCTGCCAAGAAAGGCACCTGTGGTCAGCTTTAGCAATTTACTCTTCACCTCCTGGGGCTGCCGAGAGCATGGGGAGAGGAGCCAGACCTGTATGGAATCCTCTCACCCCAGGAGCTCTCTGACAGAAAGGAATAACATCTGGGAGACAGATCATCAGATTCCGTCTGGGCACCTCACCAAAATGGAGAGGGTGGGTGCAGAAGGTGGCACCCCCCAAATTCCTGCCTCAATTCATTCAAGGTTTGCGCAAGGTTTGGTGAAGGAGGCGTTCAGTCCAAGGGTGGAGGAGTCTGGTAACTGCACTTCAGTGACACCCACTTCACCCTGGGGGTGAGCAGCCCTGGCATTCCCTCTCTAGAAGCCTGGGAAGTCTCCTCGGTTCCCGGGGAGTCCTTCAGAAAGCTTGTGTCCCTATCGGTATGCACCCCAGGGAGGAGGAGGGGGCAACTAGGAAAGGCACTGCTTGAGGGACTGACCACCAAGTCCTTGATGGAGTATATGGGGAGGATTCGGTGCAAAAGAAGCCCCAGGCTGGATGCCTAGTCTTCTGGGAGGACACTCTGCTGAGGAGGAGTGAGAAGAGAAAGCAGGTAAGCTGGATCCTGGAGAATTTTGGAGCGGGGCTGGCAGGGGAACTAAATATTAGGCTTTCTAAGAAGGGGGCACTTTGGAGTGGGGAACAGGGGACCTAGAACCCTGGCAGGTTAGAAGAGGGGGTCTTGGAGGTGGGGCGAAGTCTGAAGGATGGAGTCCTTGAGAAAGGGAGCGAGGACCCTATCACAGGGAGGCCTGGTCCTAGAGGCACAAGAGAGCTGAGCCAGTTGGGGCTGGGGGTGCCTGGGATCCTGAGTCGTGAGTAGTGTAGGGCAGTGGGTGGGGCAGGGTGTAAAAGTCCTGACCAGGTGAACCAGGTCCTTGGGGCCCCCAGGTACTCACCTGAGACCCAGCAGACCAGAGAAGACAGGGAGAGCAGCAGAAGGCCTTTCATGGTGAGGGTCCTGAGAATGGTAGCAAATGCAGCCGCTGATAGAGTAGATTTTCGGAGATCTGGCTCTGAGAGTTGAGCGACCTTTTTGGAATTTATAATCCCAACAGCCCCTCCCTTCCCTGACTCTAGTGGCCCCTCCTTCCCCATTTACACAGGTGTCTGGAGGGAAAGACCAGGGCTGGGGAGGGGCTACTAACGACTGGGTGGGGGAGTGGGGATGGGAGAGAGAGGTGGGGGAAGGCACTAGTGGCCAACTCCATTTGGGTTCTTGATTTCAGGCCAAGACACCCCTCCTGGCTCCCAGCTGACAGTCCTGCCTGCCCAGTCCTCTGAAGAAGCATCACCAATGGCCCTTGTGATGTTGCAGTGGCCTTGGTAGTATCTGCTGCTTCCTGGGAGGTGGACAATGGGGTATGACCTAAGCTGATTGCCAAATTTGGGTCCCGAGGGACACTGGAGGGGCATGTGTGCAGAAACTGAGGATGGAAGGGGCCAAATCAATCTCTATTCAGACCTCACTTGGTCTTCCCAACACCTGCTCAGCCACAGGATGAAGGAGTAGGGTTTGTCATGTCATTACCGGTTTCTGTGATGCTATAGCAGCAGAGGCAAGGGCTAGGGCCCTCTGCTAAGGAGGTGCTGCCTCAGGTTCTCTGAAGGTTCTCTGGCCCTTGTCCTGGCTCCATTTGGGCTTGACCTGGCCTGGGTTGCACCACTCCAGTGAGAGCTGATGAGAAGCTGGATGTGGGGGTGTGCACCTGCTCCAAAGCACCTCCCCAGTCGAAACCAGCCAGTTTGGGTGGGGCACTGTGGGCCAGGAGGGACAGCATGGGCACAGAGAGGTGAGGTAGAAGCTAAAATAAGAATAGAAATAGTAGTAATAATGCGAGCACTTAAATAGCGCTCCTACGCGTCAGCCATTGTTCTATGCCACTTACGTGTATTACTTTATTTAGTTCTCACAAATACTCTATGAGGCAGATGCTTTTATCCCCATTTTACAGATGAGCAAACAGGCTCAGAGAAGTTAAGCAACTCGCCCACAGTATGCACCTAGTAGGTGGTGAAGTCAGAATTTAAACTCAGACAGCCAGACTCCAGGATTCGTGATACTCCAGGCCAATGCTAGGCTACTGGAGTTAAAGCAAGCAGGAGTGAAAGTGCTTGTATAAAGGGCTGAGCACGAGTTTTAAGTGAGCATTGTTTGAGGGCTGGGAGCCAGACGGATCTGGGCCGCTGGTGGCCCCGCCCCCTTCTTATCGGAGCCCCCAGACCCGCCGTCCAGTGTCCCCCCCCCACCCTCCCTCGCCCTCCCTCCCCCAGTTTCCCTCCGGTCTCCTCAGCTGATTCACTGTCCTCCTCTCCCCACCACATCCCAGCAATGGCTCTGGTTTTGCAGCTGTTACCGCTGCTGTTGTCAGGGACCCAGGGGGACCCCGTAGGTAAGCCATCCCTGGGAAACTCGGGATGGGCGAGGAAAGACTGAGGCACGGGGAGGGGGCCACCGGGGTGTGGGGGTGGGGATGTGTGGGAAGATCCAGGATGGCGGGAGAGCAGAGGAGAGGAGAGACAGAGAGGAGACAGGAGTGCGCGGTCGTCTTGCCCTGTGTACTTGCCCTAACCACCGCCCCCTGGCCTCCCCTAGTTTCACTGGACGGCCGCCCTGGGGACCGGGTGAATCTCTCTTGCGGAAGGGTCTCGCATCCTGCCCGCTGGGCCTGGGCGCCTAGCTTCCCGGCCTGCAAGGGCCTGTCCAAAGGACGCCGCCCTATCCTGTGGGCCTCGTTGAGCGGGACCCCCACGGTGTCTCCCGTCCAGCCCTTTGCTGGCCGCCTACGTGTCCTGGACTCTGGTATCAGGCGGCTGGAGCTGCTCCTGAGCGCGGGGGACTCGGGCAGCTTTTACTGCAAGGGCCGCGATGGCAACGAGAGCCGTACGGCGCTTCACGTGCTGGGGGACGGGGCCGATTGCAGGGCTCCGGGGCCTACGGGGACCCAAGGTAGGTCGAAGCCTTCGCGCAGAGAGGGTCTTAACAGGGACACATAATCCCGGGAAGGAGCAGGGCCTTGGCTGGGGGTTCCTGAGCGGAGAGCTAACTCTCTCTCCTCGCACCCCTGACCTCGACATCCATCACCACCCCTCCACAGCTCCCCCAGGATCCGTGTATCCCCAGCTCCTGATCCCGCTGCTGCCGCTGCTGGGCGCTGGGCTGGTGCTGGGACTCGGAGCGCTGGGCGTGGTCTGGTGGCGGTGCAGGTGAGCACGAGGGGCGGGGTCTGGCTTAAGTGGTGGTGACCGGAAGTAAGAGGGACAGGACCAGAACCTTCGCAGACAAAACCTATAGGTATCTGGAGCCCTGGGGTGTGGTTTGAAGGAGAATGCGGGAGGTCAGAACTTGGGGGCGAGGCCACAGGTTGGTGGGCGGAGCCTTGGCTAGGGAAGCGAAGCTAGAGGGTGCAGCAGGATCCGAGCGTGGGCGGAACTATCTGTGGGGGTGGAGCCTAAGTTGTTTTGCTGGTCGGAGCCTGTGAGTTCCTGGGTTGTGGTCGACGCGGTCCAAGGCCGAGGACAACAAGCGAGACAAGATTGGTGGCTCTCAAACACTCTTATACGTCCCCTACAGGCGCTGCCCCCTCACCCGCTTGGACCACTACCCAGATTTGGTGAGACTAAGGCGACTCCATCTTCCTTCTCCTACCCTCATATGCCCCACCCCTCAATTCCTAAGTCTGAGCCTTTGCTGGGAGCAAACAAGTTGGTCTTCTCTCAGTCCTTCAGCTCTGTGCCCCCCTACATGGCCCCACTGGTGAAAGCTGACCCCCAGAGGCCAGTAAAGGAGGAGGAGCCTAAGACTGCAGGGGACCTGGATCAGGAGCCGGTAAGGGTTTGGTGATGGGAAGGGGCTGGCCAGAATCCCTGAGGAAAGTGGACCAAAAAAAGAGGCCTGAATCCCCAAGGGAGTCAGACTGCTGAGACGCTCCTGGCTTCCTCCCCACCTTTCAGAGCCTGCTCTACGCAGACCTGGATCCTACGGCCCTCAGGAGGCCCCGCCAGTTCTCCCCAGTGGTCTCCAGTGATGCCTCCACCATTTATGCGGTTGTAGTTTGAAGGGAAGCAGTTACTCCAAACCTCACAAGCTGGGGGCTCCCAGCTCTCCATAACCCTCCTCTCCTTCTTGGCCCCTCACCTGAAAAAGGCACCATGGGATAAAATGAGCACTAGACTGGGAGTCAGGAGACCTGGGTTCCAGGCTCTCTCTGCCCCTGATCTTGCTCCTTTCTTACCTCCATCTCTCCTATAAGTTCCATGTCTCCACCACTGATATCCTCCCTAAACCTGATCAAGGCCTGTCTTCCCATCTTAAGACTCCTAGATCCTAGACAGTTGCCCAATCTCTTCCCTTCCCTCCACAATCAGGCTCCTTGAACCAAGGGCTTACACTTGTCTCTTCCACTTTCCTCTTCACTCCCCTCCCATTGCTCATCTCTCCATGAAGTGGTCAGTGATGTCCTAATGGCCACACCCAGTAGACATTTTTTAGCATTCATCTGGCTTGGCCTTTGATTACACCCTTCTTTAAGCTGTTTTTCTTTAATGATGGTGTCTTCCTTGTAGACTTCTCTTCCTTGCTCCCTACCCCCACAGTATTCCCCACCATTTTAAGTTTGTCCTTTTCTTTATCTGCCTTCCCCCTCTTCTGGGAAGCTGTCAGCTACAGCCAGTCCTCAGTCCTCACCTCTGCAAATGACACGCAGAACTCTCTCCAGCTCAGATCTCAGTTAAGGGATTTTCAAACTGTCCCTCGGACATCCCTGCCTGGCTGGCCCTAGGCATTTAGCATGCCACAGCATGTCCAGAACCCAACTCATTGTCATCTTCCAAGCCACTCACTTAGTCATCCTCTGCATTGCCTCTTGATCAACAAAGCTGCCCAAGCCAGAAACTGGGAGTCTGCAGATCTCCTTCCTCTCACTCCCACACAAGTCCTGTCTTTCCATTTTAATGTCAGTGTCAAGTCCACAGCCTTCTTCACACCCAGCACCACCATCTGAATGTACTCTCCTCATTTCCTCTTTGGATTACCCATAGCCTCACCTCATCCTCCTACCCTTGCCCTCCTCCTTGAAGCCAGAGGGGTTCTTCCCAAATGCTAATGTGCTCCTGACAGCCTGTATTTCAGAACTGCAGGATTTCTTTCCTTAGCCTTCAGCTCTGAGCCCATGGACCTTGGTTTGGGGTACAAGGTGCTACAGTGCTCTGTCTACTTTCCAGGCTTATCTCTGTCTCTCCACATGCACACAACATTCCAGCCTTGGAGGAATTCTCCCCAGGCTCCAACTATCCCTTTGCCCAGTGCAATTCTTTCTTCCTGGGTTACCCCTTTCCCTCCTCCCCACTACCTTCCTGCCTAATTTTTATTTATCCTCAGGACTCAGTTCAAGCGTAGCCTTCTCTGGGAAGCCACACCCTCTTTGCCCACACTTGCATACATTTTGATGCCCTTCTGTCTCTCATAGCAACAGTGTCCTAGGAATTGTTCCATCACGACCTGTATTTCAATTTGTAAGAAATTTTCATGTACCATGAGTTCCCTGATGTCAGGACACTCACCCTTTTTATATCACCACTAAACCTCCGTAAATGAGTCAATGAAAATGAATGTCCCTGGAAGCGTCATTTATTCCTATCAACTAGGGGTGGGCTGGTAATCTACCAGCCTCTGAATCATCTGACATTTAGATACATTGAGTGAGTGATCCACCCATATTCTCTCTTTGCCCTGTACATGTTCCCCACAATAGAAATTCTGTCCTGTCTATCTTGTGCCCAAGCACCTATGACAGGGCTGGGCCATGAGTCAGTAAGTGCCTAATGAGGTTTTATTGAATGAAAGAGGTCTCTTTCCCACCATGGACCCAAATCTCAGGTTTCAGCCCTGCCCCTATTGCTCTGCCTCAGTAAAAACACCAGCCATGGCCCAGTCTAAAAGGTCAGTTCTGTTTTATTAGATCTGGGGGAAAGGACTGACTCAGTGGCCTCTATCCTTTTTCCCACACTATGCCCTCCCCCCATCTTGGGGCTCTCTCCCCGCCACTACCTATTCACCAGCCTCTATCTAACCCTCCTTCCCCTTTTAGTCCCTATGCTGCCCTCCCCCTGGCCAGCCAGGTCCTGAAGGCCAGGGCCTCAGCTGTGGGGGCGTGTACTGAGCACCAGGCAGAGGGAGCTGAGCCCAGCGCCTGCCTTCTCCAGTTCCGAGCAGGAGACAGGTACCAGGGTGACGTCAGAGAGCTTCTGCAATGCCTGTAGGGAGGACATGGAGTGGGAAGAGGGGAGTAAGACCCCAAGGCCACAGCCAGCTCCCCCTTCTAGCCAGCTCAGAGTAGCCCCATCCAGGCTTCTAGAGAAGGTACCCCTCCTTCCTCCTACTAGGAAGGCCTGAGACTCCTTTCTCTGGTTGTTGGTGGTGGGGCTCCTGCTTTCCCTCACCTCCTGACTGTTGGGCAGGTCCCCACCTCCACGGTGCAGGAGGAAAGGGGGCACACCCGGCAGCCCAGGACGCAGAAAGAGACAGTCAGCAGCAGCATCATCTGGGAGGGTCAGAGAGGCATAGGGGTGATCCGTCAATACTGCCATTGCCTGGGGGAGAGGAAAGAGGAAGCATTCAAGTCTCAGCTTCTCAACTGAGTCTGGCTGCCCTACCACCGCTAAGGGCAGAGGTACATTTGTGGAATAATAATGACAGCAAGCACATAGAGCTTACTGTGTGTTAGGCACTGTTCTAAGCGCATTAGGACCTTTGCTAATTTCCACCCGGGACTCAAATGCAGTTCTTTCCACCTGCAACCCTTTTCTCCCCTTCTCCAGCCCCCACCTGTCAGTCCCATCCATCCTTTAAGTCACAGCTTAGATGCCACCTTTGGGGAGTTTCTTGAAACACGGGGAGACGATGTTAATCACTCCTGTTCTGCAGTCTCCCGGCTCCCTATCTCCCTATAGTAACTTTTTGTTTTCTCGGGTGTTTTCACACTAGATGGACAGCTCCGTGAAGACAGGGGTTCGAGCTAATTTTCTGAGCCTCTCAGCTCCCCGCCTCCACGGCCCGGAGCCACGCCCACTTTTGTTGGCCGCGCTCCAACCTGCCCCCCCAAGCCCCGCCCCTCCTCACCCTGACAGCCTTTTGGGCAGCTTCGCTGCTACCCGCCACCACAGTGCGGGGTCCCCCCATGCCGCAGAGGCCGCGCAGGTGGGAAGGGCTCGAGACCGGCACTGTGGAGACGGCGAAGTCCTAGGGGGAACAAGGGAAAGTATTCAGGGACGCGGGAGGGGCCAGGGGATACCCTCAAACACAGGCTGCTCTCAGCCTCCCCCTCCTCAGCCCCCGCCCCGCCCCTCCGACCCCCATCCCCTCCCCGCTCCCCCAGCCCAGTGCTAGTCCCCGCTCCTCACCCTGAACGTGTCCGCCACGATCTCAGCTCCTCGGTGATTGGTCCACTTGGAAAGGCCTACGAAAAACTCCCGGCCTAAGCCCAGGGAGGCCGCGGAGGTTTGAGGGCGGGAGTGAGTTGGAAACTAGGCCCGAGATGGCCCAGTCTCCTTAACTCTGCTTCCCTGTGCCAAGCCCCAGGGATGCAAGCGCTGCAGCCTCACCGGTGAAGAGAACATCAGTGCCATCCAGCGTCGCGTTCTCGTCCCCCATCTCTACGATTCGGAGCCCCAGGTCCTGGAGGGCTTTGCGGACTCCATCGACCTTAGAGCAGGAGAAGAGGGAGGGGGGCTCAGATATTCCCACCCCCAATTCTTCCCTAAAGCCCCGGACGTCCAGATACTCCTTTCCCTCTACCCCAACTCGCGCCCAGGCGCTCACCTCCGGCCTGCGTGCGGGGCTCCAGGGCCGCGTGATTAGGGCCGTGTCCCCTTGGATCACGGCAGTGTCACCGAGCAGCGGTCCCAGCGGCAGCGACTCTTCAGGAGGCAGTTCTAGCAGCTGCAGCCCCAATCGCTGCCTCAGTTTACCGCCGAGCACCCCGTGCTCCCTCTGAGCTTTGGCCAGGTCCAGAGCCGGGAGGCCAGCCCCTGCACCCTCCCCCGACGCCAGGCTCTCCGGGACCCCCCGGATCAGGGCATGGGAGCAGCGGCCCAGCCCCTCCCCCGGCGTCCCCATCCCATCCACACAGACGCCCCCTCCGGCCGCGCTGATTTCTTAGTTTTCTCTTTTTACTTCACCTGTCTGGGAGAAGAGACAGAAAGGAGGGAGACAGAGAAAGAGACATGCAGAAAAGGGCGTAGCGGGTGGTTAAGAGCGCCCGGGTCTTCCTTCTGCCATCTCTGGGCGCCCCTCCCACTCCGCCCCACCCCCTCCAGACCTTCCTCTGCTGCCGACTCCACTCTACCCCGCATCCTCGCGGGTCTGCTTCTTTAGAGGAAGTCCGAGGAACAAGTCTGGGATCCCTAATCTCCGAAACACCTGTTGCCCCTGCTCGGGGGCTTCATGAGGTCCCTGCCAGGCGCCCCTCTTGGCAGCCGCTAGGATGCGCTCACTCCCCAAAAATGCAGCGGCCCCGCCCCCTTAACCCTCGGCTGCTCGCTGCCATAGAGACCCGATGTGCCGCGAGGGACCCACAGGGGTTATGGGACAGGGGACAGCTCGGGGGAGAGTCGGGGCCTGGGGGATGGAAGTCCTGGACATCCGAACGAGAAAGAGAGAGAGAGGCAAGGAGGGAGGAATTAGAGACTAAAGAGTTAAACATCCTCTCTCCACCCTGGCCGGTCACTCTGCCCTTAGCGCGACCCAGTATAAACCAGACCGACTCCCGGAGGACTGGGAGAGGTCTAAAACGAAATCCGAGAGGCGGGGAAACGGGGGGCGTGGTTCCGGGGAACGGGCGCTACTCGGAGCTCCAGGACCCGGTTCCCGGGTCTCCCGGTCCATCTTCCCAAAGTCCACGCCACTCAGCTCCGCGCCCAAATGTCGACCCCTGCACTCTGTCTGGTGCAGGCATGGGCCCGGCACCCCCAAACTCCGGCCTCTCCACGGTCCAAGTGACACCTCCCACCGCCAGACTCACCTCCAGCGGCCACCCCCACTCCTGCCGCTCTGTGATCTTGGCTGGAGCCCCACCCCCCTGAGGACAGAGTTGGTGGAGAGTCCTAGTCTTTAAGCCTCAGGGACTGGAGCTTTGGCTTTGAGGGGCCCCTGGGTAGGCGATCTCAAGTACTACGGTGGGGCGGGGGCGCGACGGTCTGGCGGCTCCGGGGCATTGTCTAAGCGGGACGGGGCGGGGCTCCTCGAGGTCACGCCCACTCCGCCCGGCTATGCCGCGCCCGCTCCCCCCGGACTGCGTCCCCCTTCTCTGAACTTGGCCCCGCCCCGCGAGCGCTGCCCAGGCCCACCCAGATCAGGCTGGCCCTGGGGGCTGGACTGTAAATGCGACATGGACGAAAAAGCAGCGCTATGGTGGACCGGCACTAAAAATGGCAGCCCCACCACAAGCACCTCTTGTAAATTTCTGGCTTCTGCCCTGAGCTCAACGTCACTGACCCTTCATTCCTTGTTACCCACACTTCAAGTCTCCTTTGTGTAAAAAGAACACAAAGATTTTCATTCTGTATTTTATTACTGAAATACATTGTCCTACCCACCCCACCCCACCATAAGAATCTCACCCAGATCCCCCATCCTTTCCCCTCATCCCCTCAGCCAGCCCTGTACAAGTGCTCCAGGATTCTCTGCCCACTGGCCATTTCGGAATGTGTCCATTGGGTAGCCATGTGGAGAAATTGGAGGTGGGGAGGGAGCACCCAGGAGGGGCTTATTTGAGGGCCTTGGCCACTTGCTCATAGGCCAGCTCGATCTCCTCATCATCTGGACAGGTGGAGGCGAACTCTTCCCGAGCATAGGCATTGCGCAAGTACCGATGCACTCCCCGGAACGCCTCCGGGATGGAGAATCCCCGATACTTCTTACATACCACCTAGGGGTGGGGAGATGAGGGACCGACATGTTAGCCTCAGGGAAGCCACACTGGCTGCCACACTGTTGGCCTTTTCCTTCTCCTATAGCCTACATGATAAAATCCAGCCTTCTTGTCCAGGCATTCAAAAACTTCTACTATCTGGCTTCTCTTCATATGATTCTTATCTCCTATATGAATCATCTTCTCCCATCAGGTTCCTTAACTCTTCACTGTCTTATAACATCTTCACCTTTTCTCTCCACTTACTGAAATCCTGGCCATTTATAACCAGCCCCTTTTCAGACCACTCCATTCCATGGTTCTACTTTTCTCCTCTTGATTTTATTGAGATGTAATCCACAAATCGTAAAGCTCTCCTCTTGAATTTCCAGTGACTTTTGTCTCTTATTTTTCATTTGGCTTTTCATCATGTATTATTAACTTTCATGTGAATGTTTTATTTTCTCAGCTAGATTTCAAATCCTCTGAGGGCAAAGACCAATCACCTTAAATCTTTGTGTCTTCCAGTGCCCAGGACACAGACGTTCAATACACAATTCTGTGGCAGCCTGACACTGGGCCCCTGTTTCACAAACTAAACCATAACTTTGAGGCTATGATAAAAACATAGGAACCAGTTTTCATCTTCCATAAAAGGAAGTGGAGACTGAAGCTATAAAGAGAGTTAAAGCTTTGGTTTTAGGAAAAGGCTGCTCTGTCTGATCTGTAGATTTGGCAATGACGGAGACAGGAAGAGAATTCTTGAAATTACTACTGGGATGTGACATTCTTGGCCAGTGTGTTTACATCCATGGCTTATATCATAGAATGTAATTCTCTCAAGCAGTGGTCTTTCCAGCAATGACTTCCAAGTAGGAATGAGGTGGTGTCTGCTATTGGAAACCACCCTAAGAAGGAAACCACCTTTGGAGTGGTTGTCATGGGAAGCCTGTGCGGGAGCTCCTTAAAGAGCCATCCCAGCGCCCATCCTTTCCCCCGACAATGACCACCCACCTGTACTATGTGGAGCTTTGGCAACAGGTTGCAGTCAGCCAGAGTGAGCTCATTGCCATCCAGAAACTTCCTCTGAGAGATGCCCTCATCCTCGGCACTGGTCTCATCCACTTCTTCTGGGAGGGGGGTTGTCAAGTAATTGTCTAAAACTTTCAGGGCTTTCAGGAGCCCCTTCTCCAGATCTGTGCAAGAGAGGGAGAATTGTTCAGAACATCAGATCAGCATAGTCTAGTAAGGCCCAAGGGGGTCGGGGTGGGCTGAATACTAATGGTGAGGCCAGTCCAAAATAATAATAGCTAACACTAGTGTAGTTAGTTTTCTTTCTTTTTCCTTAAGAATCTTTTTTTGGTGAGGAAGATTGGCCCTGAACTACCATCTGTTGCCAATCTTCCTCTTTTTTTCTCTCTCCCCAAAGCCCCAGTACATAGTTGTATATCCTAGTCGTAGGTCATTCTAGTTCTTCTATGTGGGATGCCGCCACACTACAGCCTGATGAGCAGTGTGTGGGTCTGCGCCCAGGATCCAAACCAAGAGACCCTGGGTCACCGAAGAGCACAGGAACTTAACCACTTGGCCATGGGGCGGCCCCTGTAGTTAGTTTTCTACGTGTTATCCTAAGCACTTTACAGACAAAAATGCATTTAATTCTCACATCAATCCATGAACTAGGTATTGTTATCCTCATTTTATAGATCTGGAAATGGATTTGTAGAGAGGTTAAACGAATTGCCCAACATCACACAGCTAGTAGGATTTGTACTCAGGTAGTCTGGATCTAGAGTCATTGTTCTTAAGCACAACCCTATTCTGCCAGAAAACAGGCCAGAAGCCAACCCAACTAATGTGCCCACTGGGGCAGGAGAAGGTAGGGAACAAATGAGAGGAGCTTAAAAGTCACAGCCAATGAGAATGCAAGGAAATATGGGAGTTAAGCAAAAATGAAGTGGTGGGGAACTGGGGGTGGTGGTCAAGGTTTGCTGACATTTGCTCCCATTCCCTGATATCTGAATTTCCAAGTGTCCCTAATGCCTCCTAATCCCTAGATCTTCTCCTCCTGGAACCCAGGCCTCCCACCCAAAAGACTCACTATCATTGAGTGCTGGATTTGAATTCTTGATGTAGGCAGAAAATTTGGCAAATACGTCCAGCCCAGCTGTGTTGGATTCAGGGTTCAGAGCTGCCAGCTTTGGGTACCTGAGAGCCAATGGGAGAAGCAGGATAAGATATCTTCCAGGGAGAACCCTCAGCTCCCCTGCCCCAGCCCCACCACCATCTCTGTTTTCCATTTCTTCAACTTCTCCCTTTCCCTGGGTGCCCTTATACCTGGGAGGGCACAGCACTGCCTCCAGAAATTCCTCAATCTTGTTGGTGTCTGTGTGCACTTCAGTGCCGTACAGCAGGAATGGGAGCTGCCCTCCTGGGCACAGCTTCTGTACCGTCTCGGTCCGCCTGAAGAAGAGGCCAGGTATCAGGACAGGAAAAGGGGGTCAAGGAGAACCAGAAAGGGGAGACGGAAGGGTATGGAAAGAGAAAGGGGCTCCCGGTGGAGGAAAAAAAGGTTCAGGATGAAATGAAAGGACTCAGGTGGGTGAGTGTGTGTGTGTGTACACGTGTGTGCATAAGGAATGTTTAGAGAAACAGAAATGGGCCCACCTCTTGGTGTCAACGGTGGTGACGTTGAAGGTGACTCCCTTGAGCCAGAGCACCATGAACAGTCTCTGGGAGAAGGGGCAATTCCCAATCTTGGCCCCATCGCTGCCAGCCTGAAAAGCAACCCCCATTCAAAGTTAGGCCTGGAGCACCTCACTCGTCCCCAGGCCTTTCTCTGCATCTCCTACTCCCAGACCTACCTGTATTCTGCCTAGTCATGACAGCCACACTCAGTCTCACCACTAAAAGCTCCCCCCGGAACTCGACTCTCCACCCTGGGGGCTGAGTCAAACCTGGGGCAGATCAATGGGAACATTTTCTGCAAAAGTAGGCTTCTGGTTCCCCAGAGAGTTGAGGACAGGTGGGAGGTAGGCAGAGAGAATGGGTTTTGGAGAACTTGGAGGATCTGGACTCTAGAGAGGGAAGGCTAACAATAATGTAGTTAGTTTCTAAGCACTTTACACACAAAAACATTTAGTTCTCACATCAACCCATGAAATCGTCCCTAGAGAGGGACTTTGGTGAGGCCAGAGTTATAGGCTAGAGGCTTAGATTCCTGGGTTTCTGAATGGAGTAGAACCTGAGGACAGGAGAGGTGGGGCAGGGTTTGGAAGGTAGAGTTCTGGTTCTCTATACCTCCACCCAAGCTGTTGCTGGCAGCTGAGTGTCAAGGGGCTCAGAGCCTTGCCCTAGAGATGTGGAGGGGCCTTGCAGAGGGGGGCTACACTCTAATTGGCAAGTGGTGACCTCATCCCCTGAGGGACACCTCCCCCTAGGCTGAGGGTGATTCATCTCACTGTGTCTCGGCCTCAGCAGCTTCCTTCCTGGCAAGGAGTGGGGGCAGGGACCCATAAGGCTGAGGCCTGGGCATCGAAAGCCACCTCCCTCTTCCCCCAATAGACACTGCCTGCCCAGAAACTGCCTGTCATGTCTGCCAGGGGTCTCCCAGCACAAGTTCCCCAGCTCCAGATAATCCTCCTCACACAGGGCCAGAATCTGCGCAACAGCCTCACCCAGGAGTAAAAATAGCCCTTGAGGCAAGTATGAGAGGGAGGTGGGGAACCACACCTAGGGGGGCGGACCCAGGCAAGGCTGGGCTGGACTTCCCTTGAGCTGGACTTCACTGGGCACAGGGAGAGGGAAAGGCAGAAGCGGGAGCATAAAGGAGACGGAGACATGGACAGGAATACACAAAGATGAGAGGAACAAAAGGGGGGAAGTGGAGAGAAAGGATGCAGGAAAGTGAAGGGTGAGGGGAATGTGCAAACAAGGAGACACAGATGGAGGGGGAGGCCACCAGAGGGAGGGAGGGAGGGGCGCTGAGATGAGGGGAGAGAATGCTGCGGGCGAGGGGAGCCAGGCAGAAACAGTGAAGGCTGCTGCCGGGTTTTGATACCCAAACGTCATGAGACCACTTCTCATCCACACCCACAGAGAGAGGAGAGAGTTGGGGCGACTCTTTTTCTCCTGCTTCTACAACCCCCAAAGCCTAACCACCCTAACCCAGCTCTCCTCCTTTTGATCTCTCTCCCCACCTCTCCTCGTAGGAGCCACAGCTAAACTCTCATCTCCTCACCACCTCCCTTTCTTTCATTTCCCCGAGTCCCTGGGACATGCGTTCTCGACCCCATCACCTCTCCAACCCTGCTTCTTGAACT